CCCAGTTCTGTACAAATAAATAAATAAATCTTTAAAAAAATATATGGCTTAGAAGATGGTGGTGAGAGACTTATGGGAACTACACCTGAGGGGAGAAATTATGTACAGAAATGAACAATAATGTAAGAAAAAATTTTAAATTCAATAAGTTTTTTAAATGGACTATATAATTATTTTGGTCAAAATACAGAAACTAAGAGATGATTGGGGAAATTTTGAACTTTTTACATTGCCATGGTCATATCTACATTTCTACATGTTTGTACAGTGATGTCATTTCACAAATAGTTTGTTGTGGAGCCTCGGATGACTGGGTTGGTGCCATCAGTTGCTCTTACAACATTTGCAAAATGATGATTATTTGCTTATCTTATTTGCTGCCATTTAGACAATGTAGCGAAAACATCAGACAAATGAGGTTTCTTTTACAGAGGAAGCTATAACTTGATGGAGAAACTGCCGGGATTCATTTTTCTAGATCTTATATAGTCTTACACGCAAGCTGGAATGGAATTTCCCGGAAAATTGAGGGATACCCCAATCTTTCCAGCATACTTATATAGTCTTACAGGCTTAGCATGGAAGACCTGAAACTACAACATCTTGGGGTTACTAAGATATCTATACCATTAGAAAATCCTTTCGTGAAAAATATTAGCACAATTGAGAATACACTATTGCCTGACTTCTAGAAACAAATAATAGTAAGAAGTGAATGAACTAGTTAAGAAGGTAGGTAGGTGGGAATCTAAATTATTAAGCTCAAACCTCTAGTGATTTAAAAGTGGCCACTCAGTGTTCTCTAGGGGTGAGCTGGTCCATCAGCCACTGCCCTCTTCTATCGCAATTCTGCATCCCAGGAGGGCAGGGACTGTCCTGTATGTGGGACTCAACAAGTGCTAATAAATGTTTACAAGAGTTGGGGCCTCCCTGGTGGTCTAGGGGTTAAGTCTCAGCCCTTTCACCATAGGGTCCACCACCACTGCCTGAGCTTGATCCCCGGCCAGGGAGGTGACCCACATGGCACAGAAGACTTCTCCCAACCCACCCGCTGCTGCCCTTAGAATGTATTTTGGTAGATCCCCCTGCCCTGCTCCCCGTTCTGTCTCTGGTGGATCCTCTCACTCCACTCCACCCCCGTCCTACACCAGTTCCTCTACACAAAAATAAACAAAATCTTTAAAAAAAAAAAAATGGAGTTGGCTTCAACTCTATTCCTATATTTGTTTTTTATTATCATCTTCTAATTTTTCCATAAGTTTCCTTCATGGATCAAGAAGGGTCATAAATACATACCACATAAAAGTGGTAGGTGAGGGCTTAGTCAAGCTTTTGCACCATCAGGCTCAGTGGCTATCACCCCAGGACTGTGATGGTGCAGGAGGCACTTGGGAGTGTGTGCACAGGGCACGTGTGCCTGCTTGTGAACACCTGGAGCCTGGGTGTGGGGCATGAGGAAGTGTGCACACCTGAGTCTCCAGGCCAGGGATATAAGGACAGCATCACTCAGAGATGGGACCGCAGCTGCAAGAGGACAGTGGTGACTGCCAAAGAGGCCACCAGAGAAAATACCAGACAGAGAGAAAGCATAAAGATCCATAGGGCCGTGAAGGCCCGGCTGCCTGCCTGCTTCCCAGCACCCCGCTCCTGGCCTGGCGCGCCTGTGCACCTGTTCCCTGAGAGAGCATTAAAGCCTGAAAAATCCACTGATGGCACTGGGATTCTCCTTTATCCATCTGGCAGAATCCATCATGAACCCGCCCTGGGCATGCTAGCACAACAAGGGTGAGCAGTGCTATCTGAATGAGTGTCTTGAAGAAGTTATAAAGCAGGCACTAAGGAATTTCAAAGGCTGGAGAAGTCACGTGTGAACAAAGAAGTGGTTTTCACATGGTTCTAAGCAATAGGCAGGATGTAAATGGAAGAAAGGATTTGAGAGGTGAAGACAGATAAATCTAATTAATTTAGCAAACTACTTATTTATTGATTGATTCTAATGGAGAAACTCAGTATACCAAATACAACAATATACCCCATAGTATCAGCCATACAACCTGTAGTATCGACGTAAGGAAGAGTGAACCAGAATATCTATTTTTTCTTTTGGCCATGAAAAGAATACTGGGAGATTCCTGTTGGAAAAAAATAAATAAATTTATCAGAATTTAGAAGAACATTTCAAGATATTATATGAATACTCCTAAAAGCTGGTGTAACTCCTATTACATTCAATGATTGTCTGAATCCCTTTGGACTCAATGACAGAATATGATGCAATGAGTGGCTTATAATAACAGATATTTATTTCTCACAGTCCTGGAGGCTGGAAAGTCCAAGGTGAAGCCAGAAGATTCCGTGTCTGGGGAAAGCCTGCTTTTTAGCTTCAGAGGGGCCATTTCACCGAGTCCTCACACTGCGAAGGGGAAGAAGCCTCATCTCTTGAACCCTTTAAAAGGCAT